TTATCTAATTAGGTTTCAATGTGTCTTCAGTGCTATCTATCGATCATCATTCTATCTATCTATCTTTAAAAAAATCCACCAATAGGAGAAAAATAAAGAAATTTAGCGGCGATATCAAATGGACTGAATTACTACTAATCATACTAGGGTGATATATAGTATTGTATTTAAGGAACTCTATACCTGGATAGCCTGGAACTCTATACCAGAGCCTAGAACACTGTTCCTTCTAGTTTATATTTTTATTTACATATAGATATATATAGTTGCATTTCAGGAACTCTATACCCGGAGAGCCTGGAACGGATTATCCCATATACTCTAGTGTACAGGAAACCAGCTTCTCATGCTCAGGACTTATTTTTGGAGGTATTTTTTTTAATTATACTTTCTAAATATTTTACATTTTTACTGTTCTCCACATAATTTGATGAAAAAGGGAAATGATTCTTTGTTTTGATTTAAAATCCGTTTTTATAGCTCGTTACATTTTTTACATATGCTCTCACCCCATAATTGTATAATTGTATATAATTGGTGCAACATTCTAGATGGACAATCATTGTTTGAACAATTATAAATGCTGTAGTTAGAAAATGTGAAAAAACGAGAAAATAATAAAAAAAAATTTCAATTTCAATTTGAAAGTTGCGAATGATTCTCACATTTTTGCTTAAACACCATTTGTTTAAAGGTTATTATGCTGATCCCGAATTGGAGTGTCAAGCCTATCATGTTTGCCTCCAGGTAGGAAATATTTGGTTTTGTTTATTTATAGATTTATGGATTAATTGATTGAATCTAATTATCATTCATTGTTTTGTTAAATTGATTTTTTATAAATAATTAACTCAAGTATGCCAGCGTACTTTCCAGTGAGCCTCCATATGCCCGATTATGCCAGCGTACTTTATATTGACCCTCCATATGCCCGATTATATTAGATTACTTTCCAGTGACCCTCCATATGCCCGATTATGTTAGAGAACTTTCCAGTGACCCTCTATATGCCCGATTATGTTATATTACTTTCCAGTGACCCTCCATATGCCTGATTATGTTAGAGTACTTTCCAGTGACCCTCCATATGCCCGATTATGTTAGATTACTTTCCAGTGACCCTCCATATGCCCGATTATGTTAGATTACTTTCCAGTGACCCTCCATATGCCCGAATATGTTAGCGTACTTTCCAGTGACATCTCCATATGCCCGATTATGTTATATTACTTTCCAGTGACCCTCCATATGCCCGATTATGTTAGAGTACTTTCCAGTAACCCTCCATATGCCCGATAATGTTAATTTTTGAGAATTTTTTCATTGCTTGTTGTAAGCAAGAAATGCGCAAGTCATATTTGCAGAGAAACCACAAATGAAAATAAACAGTTTTAATGAGAAAAAAAAATGAGATACTTCATACTTGCTTCTAATAATCAAGAAATGCGCAAGTCACTTTTTGTAAGGAAACCGTGAACAAAAACTAACAGTTTAGAGAAACAAAAACATTGATATACTTGATCTGACATTAAGCTCTTAAGGGTACCGTTGCCAACTTTTTATGGAGGGTCACTTTAAACTGTGCTTACAGTCCCTTTAAATAATCAATTTAAAATTAAACAGTAAAATAATAACTGCTAAAATGTTTAGGACCCTATAGATTTCACTAACCTGTATCCAGTTTCCTTCTTGTGCCCCAACGGAACTATCTTCAATCAAGCCCTGTTCAACTGCGACTGGTGGTAAGCAAATTATAAATGCCGCCTGTGCATGAATAGATTTAATTTGATATTACAGATTTTTTCTTTCACAAGAATATTCCTTCAAAACAAAAAAAAAACATTTTAAAACGTATTTTGGCAGAAGACGTTTTTAAATTATTCAAAATTAAATATTTCAAAACTTTTTTGATAAACTTTATATATTCTAAAAAAGGGGTTCAAAATCCGGAAGTCCAATTACTTCTTGAAAAATGGTAGTATAACATTAATGATGAATTCAAAAAGAATTTTAAATTAAATATTTAAGTTTTTTTAAATCGTTTATATATACATATTACAAGAAAAACCATGAAATTGCAGAATTCGTCCCGTCATATCATTTATCTTTGATAATAATTGTATACTTGAATATATAAATTCAAATTTAAAAATATTCCCCCCCCCCCGGCCCCATCCCTCATGCACCACCATAAAATCCAGTATGCATAGATTATTTTTAGTACGCATCCTTGAACACTTCTCATCTGATAAGATTAGTCTCAGGGTAGTTATGGTTACTTATACCAATCAACAATCTTGCATACGGATTTCTTCAATCCTATCACCGTGTTCGTCTGATGAAAAAATACTAAAGAAAGTTCGAAAACTATGATAGACCCTTATTTTGAAAAAGATCAACCTTCCGTGATTATTATGTAAATATTCACAAAAGGTTTCTATTTTTCAGACGGAGATCCATATAACTTTTAACAAAATCAAGGATTCATAATTCTTGGTTTGTAAAATTGTGTTTCAAGCAATGGTGAATGTACAGGGCTATCCATTAAATATGAAACTTTAGTGACGACTGTACGGAATGTATACTATACTTCAGTGACGACTGTACGGAATGTATACTATACTTCAGTGACGACTGTACGAAATGTATACTATACTTCAGTGACAACTGTACGGAATGTATACTATACTTCAGTGACGACTGTACGGAATGTATACTGTACTTCATTGACGACTGTACGGAATGTATACTATACTTCAGTGACGACTGTACGGAATGTATACTATACTCTCTGTTTCCATAAACTCTTGATTCCCCGCATCTTTCAAACTGCTTCATTCTTAGCCTAATCATTTAATAATCAATTATAAGACAATAGACAAAAAAAAATAATTTAACGTTGAGTATTCATGTCTGAAGAGTGTAAAGTCGTCTTTTCAATGTCATCCTATGTGGGTAACACTGTATTACTTAGATACTCTTCAATAACTAACCACTTCAAAATGTGTTTTCCTCCTATATTCCACTTAAAATTAACTAATCTGAAATTAGGAATAATTATTAAATCCCTTGAGGATAAACCTTGAAACATTGTTTTATGCTAGCATTGAAATTACTGACTAGCAATATGATTAATCAGTTAATTGATGGGTCTTCAGCTTGTCTTTTAGAAGCTTTAATTATAGAAGAGTTCGTGCAACAGCAAAATTACAGTTAACTATTTCATTCGAGATTTTTAAGCAATGTACATTTTTTTAAATGTATAAATTAATTCTGAGAGGAAACATTCATAACCCCCCCCCTTGCACTAACTTACTTTTTGAAATACCAACTAATATACGAATGCATCCAATTAAATTCAAAAACTGTAGGTTGTAATATCTGAAGGAGTATTTTTAAATTTAACATTTACCCCCTCTTACATGTTTCCACTCACTTTGAATTCAAAAGATCACTTAAAATTACAAATATATCACAGTGTGAATATTTCTACCAAAAAAAATATTTTCCCCCCTTTATTGAGGTGTTTGCCTAAGGCAACTCCCCCCCCCCCCCCCCCC